ACGCAGGGCATGTATGGGTGATTCCATTTTTCCTTGAGGGGTAAGTTTAAAATATATGAATATATGCATGATACTTAAGCTTATAGAGCACACAATTAGGCGTCCAGGATGAGTTTAACCGCTACCAATGTAGAAATAGCGTCTTTGTTACTGGGTACACACAGGCACCCTGTTAGGCAGTGTGTTCCACCTCAGGATATACCTTATGTGGCTGCACTACTGTGCACTGCAAAGAGAACGGCGCCGATAAAGTATACAAACAAGGAATGAGGGAGTTTAACTGGAAGTAATTTCACAGATAGAAGATCTATACTACCTCAGCCCTACCATGGTTGGAGCTGAGATAAGAAAATTTGTGATTATGGCACCTCCAGATGGCCAGAAATTGCACTTCCAGACATAAAATTTGAATATAATTATCTTTATAGCTCAATTTTATATTGAACAATTTAGCAGGGTGGGGCGGCCGGCTGGGTCCCCTTGAATCCGCCACTGGGTACTTCAGCAGATGGATGATCTATACCACCTCAGCCCCGCCATGGTTGGGCTGAAGTAAAAAAATTTGTGATTATGGCACCTCTAGATGGCCGGAAATTATACTCTTAGACTTCAAATTTGAATATAATTTTCTTATATCTCCATTAAAAAAAAAGAACAATTTAGCCTCCCCCTCCCCTTGAATGCGCCACAGATTTCCGAACAAAGTCGAAGTCGAGATTGCTTCCACGACCTCAAGAAATTATTTATTATGAGGGTTATCTTTGATATGGGTTCCCCGACGGAAACTTCACTTTTCCACCGATGGATAAAAATTACACTTGTATGTAGCTCAGAAATGAGTCGAAAATAGAAATAGAGGTGTTCCAAGGAGAGTCTTGCGTAAATAAAATGTCCACCCGCCTCAGCCCCACAACTTTTTGAAAATTCTGATTATGGCATCTAGATGGCCGGAAATGGCACTCTTAGATTAAAAGTTGAATACAATTTTGTCTGTTTTCTCCAATTTTTATTTTTTTTTGTGGATAATTTTGAAAAAAAAAATGGGATTAATTCCTAATGTCAAGCGAAAGATTTTTCTATTTAAAATATTTTCTTTTTACCTAATACAGTTTTTACAACCTATCACATTAACTACAGTGTACCGTACTGAAAATTCTGTACCGGTACTTAACCTTCATACAACTTTATTTTTAAAAAGTGGTCTAATAAGTATCTTATTGTTTTCGTTAAATTAGAGTTTAAATGTGGTTATATAATGCTAGTTTAAAGGCTTACTGTACGCCAATCAGTTACACTTACTATACATCTTCGTGGTCAGCATAAAGAGAACTAGAACGTCGCTTCATTAAGAGTGCCTACCTCCCCCTTATGCCTAAATACAGAATTTACGAATGCAGGCGATTTTTTGTGCATGCTCGAGGGTGGGTTTCAAGGAAACTTTACAGACGCACGTATACAGACGTCAATCACACATTTGGTTGCTCAACTCAAAAAAGAACTTGTAGTGTTCGTTAGAAAATTTAAAAAAATCAATATTTTATAATAATAATAATAGGTCAATTTATAAGGCGCAAATAAACAAGGTGTAACCACGAAATAACAATAATAATAATAATAATAATGACATTGCAGCGTTCGTAAAATGTTTGTCACTGGTGCTGGTAACAGTTACAAAAGTGCGGGGGTAGGCCCCCCCCCCTGTAGAAAAAGTGTGTGGGCTAATGGCCCCTCTGGCCCCCCGCTTTCGCCGCCGTTGGGAAAAACCAATGAAATGGTGATACAGTAGTTCTGGAAGATTATTCTCATTGTTTACTTCTATTCAACGTCTTCCGTATCATCCCGTATCAACTACTGTATCACCATTTCATTGGTTTTTCCCTTATGTTATACAATAATGATACTCGTTTACTACACTTCCAGTTAAACTCCCTCATTCCTTGTTTGTATAATTTAATTGGCGCCGTTCTCCTTGCAGTGAACAGCAGCCGCATAAGGTTGGAGTTTAGATGCTTGGTAGTTAAGATGCTTGATTTCCAATCCCAGAGTCCTGGGTTCAATTCCTGTCAGTGTTGCAGGATTTTTTCCCACGACCAAAAACTCCACTCCCTAAATCTCCAATCCCTATATCCTGAGGTGGAACATACTGCCTAACAGGGTGCATGTGTGTACCCAGATGTAACAAAGACGCTGTTTCTACATTGGTGGTGGTTAAACTCATCCTAGGGATGCCTAATTGTGTGCTCTATAAGCTTTAAGTATCATGCATATATTTATATATTTTAAACCCCTCAAGGATAAATGGAATCGCCCATACATGCCCTGCGTGTATTATCGGGTATATCGATAACTAACCACGTCGATAAAGCCCAGTGCGAACGACAGGAAGTTTACCCATTGGAATGTTACCCACAGTCTCGGTAAAAATTTCCCTATTTTAAATCCAGTGCGATTGTGGCTTAAGTCACATGTACCGTACTCGCGCGAATAAGCGCCCCGTTTGAATAAGCGCCCCTCTCGAATAACTGCTCCTCCTAACTTGAAGATTTCCTTAAGCGCCCCGTTTGAATAAGCGCTCCTTCTAATTAATAAAAATTTTCCATAAGACCCCCTCGATTTTCATCTATTTCCATAAGCGCCCCTCAATTTCCACTCTGTTTTCATAAGCGCCCCTCAGAAAGTGCAAAAAATATTTTAAGTGCCCGGGCGCTTATTCGCGCGAGTACGGTATTTGGTATGATAACACAAACACTCCTCACTCCTATATTTCTTGAGACAAACTTAGCATTTTTAGTGGTTGTTATCTGGCTAGATAAACTGGAGGTCGTGGGTTCGATTCCCACACGAAACATTTTTTAAACATTTATTTTACTGGCCAGTAATTGGGGACGTACTGAGTATTTAAAATGTCCACTAAATAATCTTAGATAACATAGTATAATACATGACCATTCAATATATGACCCACAGCTGTATATTGCATCTTTACATTTCTTTAGTTAGACCTTTTTTTGATTATTCCAGTGTTATTTATACTGTAATTCTATTTCGTTCTTACAAGCCCATCAGATTGAGAGAGTCCAGTCTAAATTTTTATATTTTTTAAATCACAATTTTAAAAATGACGATATTGTTTCATACGCATTTCCCTCACTTAGAGAAATATTTTTGATATGGTTTTTCTTTTTAAATGTGTTAATTCTATTTTTGGTACTATAGTTTATGTTCTTTATTTCCTCTTAAGATTAATAGACCTGGCTCTGGCCGTCGTAATGACCTATTTTTGGTTCCCTTTAACAGAGTCAATTGCAATAAAAATGGATTTATTCATCGTCTTGCCAACTTTTTAAATAACCTTTCTCACAATTTTACGTCAGTCGATATTTTTCACCAGAGCCTTAGTTCATTCAAAACCAGCTTATCGCAATCTTTAATCCATAATACCAAGTGGCTTATTTTCTGGGTGGGTTAATTCCTTTATTCCTTTGTCTTTTTCTTTGTTTTTGATTTTTTGACTTGTTTGTGTGCTTTCTTTTTTTCTCACCTTTGTTCTGTGTACTGTATGTATTTTTATGTGTTTTTTTCTGTTCTGTATTGTCTAGCTATGTTTTTAATTGCTCTGTTCTGTCTGTGTGTTTCTGTTGTACCTGTGTTCTGTGTTTTGTCTGTATTTGTATGTTTACTTATTTCTATTTGTATTTTTTATTTGTTTTATCTTCAATTTTTAGCTTAAGATGTTCCTCTTCGCAATATTTTTGTAAATTTTAATTAATATCAAGCTGTCAATTACCAAACCACAAGGACAATCGGAAAGTTGTCGTGTGTAATCAGAAA